GGATGGCAGGCGCTGAAAGGGAGCAGGCGAGATCACTGCCTTCTCTGAGGTAAAGCTTGCCCGGCCTTCTTCAGAAGCTTAGGAAAACAACTTTTTACGGCCCCTTTGAAGGCACCTGGCGAGTTGGGTGAGGGATACACAGAAGGCGGGAGGAAGGAAACGGTCAATTAGCCGGATGAGTCAAAGGCACAGAGGTGTGGGCCGCCGTGTGGGCCTCATCCCTGACACAGAACTGAGCTGAATCTTTTCGTAGGGTAAACAGAGGCAGAGGAGGGGACCGGATGCTTGTGCCTTTAATCCCCGTGTAAATGAGGGGATTTCAGCAGGTGTTAGAGTGCTTGGTAACAGGGTTGCCAGCTCCAAGTTGGGAAATACCTGGAGATGCTGGGGGTGGAGCCTGAGAAGGGCGGGGTTTAGGGAGGGGAGGGACTTCGGTGGGCTACAATGCCACAGAGTCCACCCTCCCGAGCATCCATTTTCTCCAGGGGAACGGATCTCTGTAGTCTGGAGCAGTATTCCCTCCAAGCTGAGTTAGTGTGAGCTAGCTCACAGTTTCTTAGCCTCTGGCTCACACATTTTTGTCTTTGCTCAGGAAGGGAGGGGCTCCAGAGCAAACTAATTGATGCAGGAGCCAAATCGCCCGCTCACAACTTTAATGCCAAGTAGCTCACAAAGTAGAATTTTTGCTCACAAGACTCCACAGCTTAGAGGGAACAGTGGAGAGGCGCTGTAATTCTGGGGCATCCCCAGGTCCCACCTGGAGGCTGGCATCCCTAGAAGGGAACGGGGAACTACAGAGGAGGGGGAGGGGGAACTGCAGAGAGAACTAGGCACCCCTAGAAGGGGAGGGGGAACTCAACTGGGCACAGTGCCACAGAGCCCACAGTGCCACAGAGCATCCATTTTCTCCAGGGGGAACCGATCTCTGAAGTCCGGAGATGAGCTGTAATTCCAGGGGATCCCCCAGGTCTCACCTGGAGGTTGGCATCCCTAGAAGCAGGGAGAGCTCAGCAGGGGTGTGATGCTGTAGAGCCCACTCTCCAAAGCTGCCATTTTCTCTGGGGGAATCGCCATCTCCAGGTTGGGGAATTCCTGGAGATACGGGGGTAGAAGGTGGAGACAGCAGAGTCTGGGGAAAGGAGGGACTTGAGCAGGGATATAATGCCACAGAGTCCACCCTTCAAAGCAGCCATTTTCTTCAGGGGAACCATCTGTGTCGTCCGGAGATCGGTTACTGTTCTAGGAGAACTGGGCTACCCTGAAGGATAGGAAAGAACCCTTTTCATTGACTTAAATTTTTATGGAGGAGGGTATAGGGTTGCCAGGTCTGGGTTGGGAAATTCCTGGAGACGTTGGGGGTGGAGCCGGGAGAGGGCGGGGTTTGGGGAGGGGCCTCGGCATGGTCCAATGCCATAGAG